CGTCCACATAAGTCTTAATGAGCTTCAGAGCAGTCTCCGGGTGCGCGTGGTACCCACGTACAGGCCCGCCAAGTGAGTTCCAAACTCGAGAACCAGAAAAGCTAGAAGACTGGAATTTTAAGGGGTGTTCTCCGTCCAAGTAGGTATTAATGAGCTCAAACTCAACACCTGGTTATGCGTAGTTTCAACATGCGGACTGGTGGAATTTTTCTTGGGTAAGTGGCTAATTTGGGAACCTGAAAAGCTGGAAGATTGGTATTTTAAGGGGATTTTTCCCATCCAAGTAGGTGTTAATGAGCTCGAACCCAGACGCCGGGTGTGCTTGGTGCCCACGTATGGGTCTTCCAAGGTTTTTTTCGGGTAAATTGCTAACTCGAGGAACTGAAAAGTTAGATAGCTAAGATTTTAAGGAGGTGTTTCCTGACAGTTCTGACGGCCAGTCTTAATTTGTTTAGCTAGAAGCACTTGCCGGAAAGGCCGCTGCCGGTGGCTACAGAAACTGCGGGGAACTATGCAAAAAACGCATCTTCGCACGGACAACCCGTGCGCCTGCCAATTATTACTTTAACTTGGGATTCCACGACAGGGAGGAGAGCGGGTGTTTTCAGTATGAGCCCTGATTCAGACTCAAAGTTGTTTTCATTTTGAATATGAGGATTTTGACCAGGCACTAGTGGGATTGTGCTGAGATTTGTTTAGGAAGTGAAAGCTGGCTGTATTGAATCACTCACACTGGATGATGATATCTCATGGCCAGAAGATGTAAAGGTGCCGAAGGAGCTGCGAATTATTGACGCGGAACTTATCGTTTGCCTGGTGTGTACTCCCAGTGTATGGTTTGTTTCCAGTTTACTATTCTCGGAATTTTCACTTGATAGTTTTTTTTTTGCTCAAAATTGCGCTAGATTTTGGGACTGTGTTTTTGAATTTAAATTATCGCTTTTTTGATCAGCGTCTTGGAAAACACAGTTAAAAATAGCCAGTTAAAAATAGCTAGTTAAAAACAGCCAAAACATTCAGCTGCCTTTTTAGAATAAAGATGACCATGTTTTTTGTAATTTCTGTTTTGAAATATCAAAAAGTTTGAAAAAGAAACTGGGCTTCGAGAAGGCTGCATCATAGATGATGTATTGTTCATATGGCGATACATTTTTATGCGTTTTGTGCTGTGTAACAGCGTTACAAAACACATTGTCACGAGGTTGTCTGTGTGTGTGTGTGTGTGTGTGTTTGTGTGTCCCACATTTTGTCTCGCACTTTCAACTCGGGAACCACAAAAGCTAGGCGGCTGAAATTTTAGCGTAGTACTCTCCGCCAACGGGTGACGCGGCAAATTTAAATTCAGCCTTCCCGTACCTGCGGGTAACTCGTACGGCACCCCGCCAACGGATGACACGGTAGATTTAAATTCAGCCTTCCGTACCAACGGGTGACACGTACGACCCCGTGAAAGTTTTTTACGGATAAATTATTATTTCGGGAACCACTGGCCTAGGAAACTGAAATTTTAGAGTCATTACCCCCTGTCCACGCTCAACCTTGCCAATTCAAATTCAGCGTTCCCGCGCTCTTGAGTATCGTCTACGGCCTCGTGACAATTTTGGTGGGTAAACTGTTAACTCGGGAATCACGGAAAAATATTCACCCTTCAAGGTTTTCAATTCAGTTTTCATGCGTGCATGCGTGAAAGCTGAATCGCGTTGCTATTTATTGGTAGCAAGCGTTGCTATTTATTGATTTTTGTCTTTGAATAAAATTACTGGAAAGTTTTTTTTTTCACTCATGAATAATAGAAGCACTCACAGATTTTCAACTTTTTTTGCAGGCGAGGCAAAGCACGAATGAAGCTGTGGTGCACTATCCTAAAAGATATCGCTGTGTGCCTTTCAGAGGAAGCCGGTGATTGCAGAATATTTAATAGGAAGCTGTTAATACGTTTTAATTTTGTTCGCAAGTTTTTTCAGGTACGTATTTTGATCGTATGAATAGAAAAATTCCGTAGTGACAAAATTTTACTATGAAAAGTTTGCGGTAAATTTTTTTATAGGAAGACAGTTGTTCGATTTACAAAACTTTTCGTGCAGTTCAAATTGCTCGGAAGAAAAAAAAACCTGGTCAGTCATAGTAAGGTATTAAGTGACATAGTGATGCTAAACACATGTCACTGTCATCTCAGAATGCTAAAACTTTGCATAGTGCTTCTGTGAAACGGACTGTTATGCTGGTAATTTTTAAAGACGATAAAATATTTGGCCAACGCACCGACTGCCGGTACGAAGATGTGTTTTTTGCACAATTTCCCGAAGTTTTTGCCCCTACCGGCACCGGTTTTCCCGGCAAATGCTTCGGACTAAAACCGCCAGAACTATCAGGAAACACCCCCTTAAAATTTCAGCTTTCTAGCTTTCCTGGCTTCCGAGTTAGCAACTTACTCGAAAAAAACTTTTACGGGCTCGAACTTACTCTAAAAAAACTATCACGGCCCGTACGTAGGTTCCAAGCATACCCAATGTCTGGTTTTGAGCTCATTAATACCCACTTGGATGGGGAACATCCCCTTAAAATTCCAATCCTCTAGCTTCTCAAGTTCTCGAGTTAGCGGCTTACTCGAAAAAAAATTTCACGGGCCGGTATATGGACACCACTAGGACAAGGGTGCCCATTTTGGAGATTGGGGCCTGTACGTGCACGCAGATTAAATTTCCAAAGTTTCAGCCCTGTAGCTTTTGTAGGTCTTGAGATGAAAAACCGTGATAGACAACCCCTCGTCAATATGCGTTTTCTGCATTGCATACATACAAAAAACTCATAAGAAACGTCAGGATCATCAGCAGACTAAGCACCTGAGGAGCAGCACTGCCAAGGAAACTGAAAAATAGTGAGCTGCATAACTGAAGCACCAGACTATGAATTAACAGATATTTCAAGAACTCCAGTAACTACTTGAAAAAGCTACTATTTTCTACTAATTTGGAGATTATCATACGGATGTTACATTGAAAATATTTGCTCGTCCAAGTTGAATTTTTGCGATAGGGAGCAAAAACGATTTATATTTGGTAATCCAAATTTTTTAGGGAGATGAGCTGATCATTACTCGGATGGACCAGGGATTCCGCGGCAGGAGTTATACTGGCTCTATTGAGGGGCTTCGATGCTGCATAGCTCATACCGCGTTGCTTTGCTGAGATGATTTTATTGGGGAATTTTTGTTTTCAAATACTTTCCTTACTTCCTAAACTGTTGAAAAATGTTCAGGCATGTTTGGAGATGCTGCAAGATGGTAAAAGCCATCTGGTTGTGGATGACCAGGATGTGGTACCATTAGTTGATGCCCAGTTAACGATTATTCGTGCACTGATTGAAACAGAGGCAACCACTGATGAGCTCGCCTCCATATGGCATTTCATATTTCTTTCCCATCCAGCAGCTCTCACATACATCACATATGGCTCGGTCAACCACAGCCATTCACTCGACGAAGTGCCCATCCGGCAAGGTTTCTTCTTTCTACGTGACTGAGATTTTTTTGCTATGGCAGCATATATTCTGGGTCTGATTGTATTTGAGATCTGGTTTGCCTGGGAGCTCATTTGCAGTGCCATTTTTTTTTTTTTGCTAGTAATAACTTTTAATTTCCTAGTATTTTTTTTTATTTTGCTGTTAGTAGAAATGAGGAAAAGTAAGTTGAGAACTATATAAGTGGCCTAATGCGATGTGCATTTAGTTTTTTTTTT